CGCGGCTCCTCCTCCTCCGACTCGGAGAGCGAACTCGGGTCCGCCATCTCCGCTTCCTCTTCCAGCTCACCCGAGGGAGGGGAGCGCCTCCAGAACTTATTCAGCTCCGGTGGCGACTTCCCCATCCTCCGGGGCCGATCGACTCGCTCGATCCTTATCTCGGGCAGCCCGAGGTTGGGGACGGAAGAGGGCTGTCCAGGCCCACCCTTCCCCCCTTCTGCGTCCTCGACCTTCTCAGGAAGGAGCACATTCACCGGCTCCTCATCCCGAGAAAGGTCTATCACTACGTGGGCGGAGGAGGCAGCCGTCCCGCAGCTCGGCTCGCACGACGGCTCGCGCGAAACGCTGCGGGAGGCGCCATCCCTCCTTCCCAGGACCTTCTCCGGCGGGTACTCCGGGGAGCCCTCGCCAGCAGCAGCCTTTTGGGCCGCGCTTCGGGGAAACTCCACCTTGCCCCTTCGCACTGCCAACACCCACTCATTGGTGTCGAGCTCCACATCATCGAGACTTGTCTCGTTTTTATATCGGACCCTTCTATAGGTCCCGGGCTCTACTACCTCCTCGTAAAAGTCAAAGGAGGCCTCGTCCCACCCCTCTAATTTGCCGGAATATGCTCCTCCCTCCGGAGCAATTTCCCGTCCGCGCTCACGAGTCGGTGCTCCAGGATAAAACCTCCGGGGCACTGTTCCCTCCAAACACTTACCTCGTCATCCGTTGCGAGGTTCTCATTGTCCCGGTCGCTGTCAGTGGTAAGCAGCAACCTCTCCTCAAGTTCGTCCATCCTCCGCCTGAACTCGAGAGTGGCGGGATGTACTTCCTCCTCCTTCGGCTGGCTCACGGCAGTAGCTGATTCCACTGAGGCCCCTGCCGGGTTGACCTCAGCTAGCCCTTTGTTTGATGACGACCGGGCGGGAGCAGGGACGGTACTCCCACCAGGCCGCTCCAGAGGTTCCGAACTCCTCCGGATGTTGGACTTCATATTGCTTCGCATATTTCCATCCTGTGTGAGTTTAATTTTGCGAAGACTCGACTCCGGGCAATATCTTCGGGTTGCCATCCCCTAGACCGGTTGCCACCCAAGGCTCACGGGCCCGCCCTGCCCGGATTTGGTCCGCTGCCGCTTATTCCCCTTGGAGGATTATTCACGGCTAACCTCCAATCCATAGGAGGCCGTTCCCTTATCCGCCACCCGGGGACGCGCCTGGTTGCGGTTTTCTCCGCTCTCCACACGGGTTGAGGCTGCGGGACTGAGCCACGCACCCACCCGGGGAGCCAGGAACCTAACCTAACCTAACCTTGGAACCGGATCTGTTTCAGCTCCCGGTTCCAAATTGTGGCGGTTCTGCAACGCAGCAAGCGGAGACACCACCACGATTCCCGAGTAACAACGTTGGACAAGAAGAGTCAACGGACCGGTCGATCGA